TGAGATGATCACACTTCCATCTTTTAAAAGATACTTTATAAGGGTAAAGGGAGACTGAAAATGCAGTAGACCCTTGAGGATGGAGGCATTGTCCTCTGACCAAGAGGTTGAAGTGGCCTCTATAAATGGTGAGGAGGGGACAGGTATCTTGAAAGAAATATAATTGGTAACGCTTGGTGACTGCACACGGGCAGCGTTGCTTAGGAAAATTAGAGCTGTATGAAGCTAGACAGACTGACAAATACAGACTTCAAAGGGTTCAGGGGCTGAACTAAGGAGATTCAAGCTCATACCAGTGCCTGTGAGCACAGGGAAGGGTTAAGCAGGATAATGAGATGATCACACTTCCATCTTTTAAAAGATACTTTATAAGGGTAAAGGGAGACTGAAAACGCAGTAGACCCTTGAGGATGGAGGCATTGTCCTCTGACCAAGAGGTTGAAGTGGCCTGTATAAATGGTGAGGAGGGGACAGGTATCTTGAAAGAAATATAATTGGTAACGCTTGGTGACTGCACACGGGCAGCGTGTGAGAGGGAGGCGTCAGAGATGACCTCAGGATTTTGGCCTGGGTGTTTGCTCTTCACTAATACCAGAAGAACAGAGAAAAAAGCTGGTTTGTTGGGAAGAATAGTGAGATCACTAGGGGGTGTGTTGGGTTCAATGTGTGTCTGAGCAGTCTAGGTGGAGAGGTCTAGTAGGCAGTTGGCTACAAAAGTAGAACTCAGCTCGGTCAGCATGAAAACGTGGTTTTCTTGTTAAAGCCTATAGTAGCAGTTGAGGTTGTGAGTTGGGTGAGGAACTCAGTAGGAGGGTCAGAGGGTGAAAGGTGGTACTGGGGGTGCTAGATGCCAGCAGCAGGCAAGAAACCCCAGAGAGAGATGGAGGAGGAGGAGTCAGAAACGGAAGAGGAGAACGGGGAAGAATGGTGTGGAACCATGAGGGTAGAAAGTTTTCAGGAGGGAGTGATCAGCAATGTCAGATGTCACTGAAACTAGGTACTAGAACAGGGAAGCAGACAATAGATTTGTCAGTGTGGAGGTCCCTGGACCCTTGAGCCGGAACAGTTTTGGTGGTCGAACCATGAGGGTAGAAAGTTTTCAGGAGGGAGTGATCAGCAATGTCAGATGTCACTGAAACTGGGTACTAGAACAGGGAAGCAGACAATAGATTTGTCAGTGTGGAGGTCCCTGGACCCTTGAGCCGGAACAGTTTTGGTGGTCGGCTGGGGCAGGAGCTCATGTGCAATGAGAGGAGAAGCAAGGGGGAGAGGACAGACAGTGAGATAAGCTTGGTTAGCAATGGGCGGGGTGCTGCGCCCTCCCCAGCAGCAGACCTGAGCACGCAGTGCATGGGGTCTCTGACTCTACTCCAGCAGTGCCCTGCTCCTTGGGTGTAGGACAGGGAGCCCGCTCAGTAGGTTTGACCCAGAGTTGGGGTTTTTAAGGGAGCAGTTGTGAATGTTTTTGTTGCTTATATTACTCCTAGTCCCTCCTTACCAGATTCCCTGAAGCCTTTAGTCCTCATCACCCCACTTCACACGCAGACCTCTTGGATGGGAGCTTTACTTCTGCTCCATGGAGAGCACTATCCACAACCTCCCTTCAGATCCTCTCAGATTTGCCTTTTCTTTTCACATTGCTGTGGTCTCAGTGCAACATGAGTTGGAACTTTGGCCTACAGTTTCTGAGCGTCTTTCTGCTTCTTGCCTGCCACGGCCCCCTCCACATGTGTTCCAGCGGCGGACGGTCTACGCTCTCCCTCCAGGCCAGGCCCTCCTCAGCGCTAGTCGCTGTTTTCCTTCTGTTTTGTCACGAGGCTCTTTTCTCCACAGTCAGTCCTCCATCCCCCCGTCCAGTTGTCAGCACAGCGGTCATTCCACTGAACTGCTCACACAGGCCACCACTGACCTCTTTTTTGGCTAATCCAGTGATGTCTACACTATCCCCTACTTTTACTTTTACATTGTTTAGGATCCCGCTGTCCTGTCATTTTCCTCTTGGTTTCCCTGACACTGCTCTCCTAGATTTTCTTTTTCTTTTTCTGCTCCTTCCCACGTCCTCTGCTGCCCTTCCTCCCAGCACCTTCATGGCACGTGCTTTATGGCGTTCAGTCCTGGGCCTTCACTTACTCTGCAGTTGTGCTCAGGACCAGATAGCCACGTGTGGTTTCACATAACTCCTTGCAAATAAATCTAGCTCTGGTGTTCTACTTTAGTTCTAGACCAAATTAGAACTCAAACTAGACAAACTTTTTGATAGACACCTCTTCATAGTTCTTACAAAAGAACCACAAACTCAAATTTAACTTTAAATAATGTATTTGTTCCAAACACTCAGGCTAAGCTTGACTCTGCCTGTTTCTTCACCCCCACTCTGCTGGGCAGTTGTCGGGTCCAGACTCCCATTGTCATCCCTGCCATTGCCGCCCAAGCTCATGGCTTTGTTTTCTACCATTGGGAGTGTCACAGTGCTCTCTTCACTTGCCTCTGCCTCCCTTCTCTCAGGTCATCCAGAATTGCCACCTGTCCCAGCTGGTGCATGTCACTGTTTTCCTTGGTTGCTCTCTGGTGTGTACAAAGTAACATCCAGCCTCTCAATAGTGAGGACCCTTTACAGTCTTGTCCTAGATGACTCTTCCTCCTTGTGTTCCACACCTCTGTAGCTCTTTACGGCTACCATTTATGGAGAAACTATTGTGGGACTGTCATCAGTATGACACTTGCCATTCATTGTTGCATTTATACTAGAAGCAGATGGTTGGGAATGTGAGCTTTGATGGCAGAATCCCAGCTCTGCCAATTACTGGCTGTGTAATCTTGGAAATTATTTACTATCTCAGCGTCAGTTAAGTCTGATGGCTAAATGTGCTTACCACATGGAAAACACACAATAAATGGTAGCTGCTGCCACCGTAAATGGTAAGGTTTTCATCACTCCTGACCCCCTCATGAGGTAGTAAGTGTTGTTATCACTCCTTTTTTTTTTTTTAACCAATGATGAAACTGAGGCTGAGGGAAAGTGAGTAACATGTCCTGCTTCCCCAAACACATGGCTGTGGGAATTGTGGCTTATTCATCTTTTTTTCCAGAATGTCTTGAAACTCAATAAATATTTATTGAACTGAATTGAAAGATGGATCTGGAGCTCCAGATCAGATTGAGAGAGAAAGTTTTGAGAAACTGTCACCTGCTCAGGGGTGGTAATTGAAGTCATTCACTTTCCTTTGAAGACCTATCCTTTAGGGTCCTCAGATCGCAACCACCCCTTAAGCAATGAGCTGTATATTCCTTTGTGACAGATGAAAATTACTGTCTTAAATCTTTTGTTGTGAGAATGTGCATGTGTTTGTATTCTTTCCCCAAATGGATTGTAAGCTCTTGAGGGCAGAGGACTGTACCTTATGCTCTGTATTAGCTCCTGCACTGTTATAGTCCTTGTTTTGTATGCTAACAGGTCAAATCTGAGTAGCATTTAATCTTAATATCAAAAAGGAATTCTCAAATATTTGTAAGTGATGACCGAGCCACGAAGATGATTTTGTTAATCTTTACTTTCTCTAGTTTGTTACCCTTTTTTTTTTTTTTTTGCCGCTGGCCTTGACGGGGATCTGAACCCTTGAGCTCGGTGTTGTCAGCACCACACTCTAACCAAGCGAGCTAACCGGCTAGCCCTTTACTTTCTCTAATTTGGATTAAGAAAACATTATTTTTTCACATTTTCCTTTTTTTTTTAAAAGATGACTGGTAAGGGGATCTTAACCCTTGACTTGGTGTTGTCAGCACCATGCTCTCCCAGGTGAGCCAACCGGCCATCCCTATATAGGGATCCAAACCTGTGGCCTTGCTGTTATCAGCACCACATTCTCTCAAGTGAGTCATGGGCTGGCCCTTATTTTTTCACATTTTCCAAATAGAAGTTACTGTGTCAAATATGTTTTTTAAAACTGTGCTTCTGCTTTTGCTTTCTTTCTTGCCATTGTGACTCCCTGCCCTTTAAGGTTCTGATACACATTTTTTCCCATGCATAAGGGAGTCACTGACGTACGCTCTCCTGTGCTCATTCTCTTGTTTTACAGTCGAAGAAACCGAGGGCCTTGTTCCAATGATTCTCCTGTTTTTTCCTTGTTCCAATGATTCTCCTGTTTTTTATCTCGCATTCTCTTGTTTTACAGTCGAAGAAACCGAGGGCCTTGTTCCAATGATTCTCCTGTTTTTTATCTCGCAAAGTATTCTAAATAGCTTGGTTAAGATTCAAGGTCCTTAGGGATATGCAAGTTTTAAATGCTTTGCACTTTTCTTCCGACAGAGCTGAAAAGCTTCAGCTGCTGAACCACAGGCCTGTGACTGCTGTGGAGATCCAGCTGGTGAGTGAGCGAGGCCTGAACTTGAGGGGCTGTTTTCTGGGTCTGAGATGTAAAAAGACTGAAGATGGGCAAGCCAGGATCTGCCATTTTTTGAAGAGACTGCCCAACCACCCCATTTTATAAGACAAAGAGACCTCACTGATTTGCTTCTAGTTAATATGGACTTAAGGAAAGGAGAAGACTGGAAGCAATTTAATTCCTCCCGCAGGGTCTGGGCCTGTGACTTGGCAGCTCTGTCTCCCCAATGTCCTAGGCCATTCTGGCCATTGCCTCCCTGTAGGGGTTGTTGCCAACCAGATGTTGCATGAAAACATTAAACTCACTCTCCCACCCCTGCCCTCCCGCCCTGCTCTTCCTTCATGTGCTTTCTCAGTTCATGGAGCTCGTGTGCGTGGGTCCACACACTCTTCCTCTCTCGCCCCCCTGGCCTGAAGTCATTCTGTACCTTTTCCCTCTGACTTAGTCCGCAAGCTCTGCTGTTTCTCTCCCCTCTCACTCTGTCTTCTCTCCCTACTGCACCACCTTCACTTCCATCATCATTTCTCCACTGGGCTCTGGCAGTTGTCCCCTTGCGTTCTCCCTGTCTGCAGTCTGGCCCCTTTAGCCCATCTTTATACCACCACGTAGTTCATGTTCTAAAACCACGAATAGGATTGTCTTGCTTCCCTGCATGAAGCCATTCAGTGGAGCCTCATGACTTGTACCATCCAGATGGCAGTCACAGCATAGGCTTCAGAGTTGGGGAAGGCAGCCCACGTGCAAGGCCTGAGACAGCGTGAGGAGAATGGAGGACAGGAGGTCGAGTGGTGCACATCGAGTGGCTGCTGGGTTGGCACCTGGGGCAGTTCCTCTGCTGCACAGGGCAAAGACATTGGTGAGCTTCAGGTGCTGAGCAGGCCATCTAATGCCAGAAGAACCTTGGTCTGAGTTAATATGGAACAAAGCTGTTTCCAATGTCAGTTTTAGAACTATTCAACTTGTCAAATTTTCATTTAAAAAGTATGGAAGAAAATGGTAAAAAATACCTATGATCTTTAGAGTATTAAAAAACCCTTTTGGGCCGGCCCGGTGGCGCACTGGATAGTGCGCCGCTTGGGAAGCGCGGCGGCGCTCCCGTCCGAGGGTTCGGATCCCATGTACAGACCGGTTCCCGCTCACTGGCTGAGCGAGGCGCGGGAGCAACGCCGAGGCTTGCGATCCCGTTGCCGGTCCCCGGTCCGGTACAGGGGCAACACTGAGGGTTGCGATCCGTTGCCGGACACGGAAAAAAGATAAAAGACAAAAAAAAAAATAAAAAAATAAAAAAAAATAAAAAAACCTTTTTACAGGGTCATGGAGTATTTAATTTTTTACTTAAACTTTCATTGTCTTCCCAGAGTTGTTTCTGCCATTTAAAATGCACACAAAATAAAATTAGAAAAATTCTTTCCATAAAAGGTGACTTTCTGGGGGACCTGGCCTTTAGGCTTCTTTTGGACAGCTGAACAGTTCAGGGATCTGAACCCTTTACTGTGGTGTAGGCTTTTTTTTTTTTTTTAATATCCTCATTATTCTGATGCTTTACACTGTATTAGAGATTCAACTTAGAGGAGAGAAAAAAACAAAACAGCAAGAAACTAATTCCTGTTCCTCTCAGTGAAAGATCACATGCTGTGTCTCCTCCAGCTTTAATCAGTAACATATGTTATTCGTGGCTTAAAGACAGACAGAAGAGATGAGGACTAGTGTGACTTCATCCCAGATCCTGTAGAAAGCTCCATGTCAATACTTGGTAACATTAGCTGCTATTAACAGTGCCCAGTGTATACAGACATAGTCTCAGGTGCCTTGTCTGTGTCACTTGTAATGCCCTCACCACAGTCTTGGAAGCTGGCACATATTCTCCGTATTTTAGCCCTGAGGGCTAGTGAATGACTGATTTGGGTCTGTCTGACCTGAGGTTTCCTTTGTTCCTCCAAGCCATGTGCTTTTGCATGGTGAGAAGAAAGATGTGTGTGGTGTCCCCTCAGAGCATTCTCTTCGCCTTTCTACAAAACAGGTAGGCCTTGATGAAAACTGATGCTTCCCAGGAGTTGGACCATTTCATAGCCAGGTTCCCGCTCCCATCCCCCACCCCCCACCCCACCTACTGCCACCAGGATTTGGCTACAAAAGGTAGCAAATCATTTACCAAGGCTTGTAGCAGTCTGTTTCTACCAGAGAGGGATAAGAAGTCTGGGCGCACATCAGGTGGAAAGTGCAAGGGACTTGCAATATCCTTGTGCTAGCCTCCTTGGGCCCAGCAGACACCCAGCACTAGTTAGTATTCAGTGGGAGCCAGGTTTCTTTCAGAGGCTGAAGCTTCGTTTCTTCAGTTATGCCTCAGTTGTGATTTGTCATGAGCCTCTGGTGGACAGAGAGGGTCTGTGACTTCCAGCATGTCCTGTCATGTGTTCATGTGGAATGGTTTGTGATTCCTCTGGCCTGAAGACGATAGGTTTGTGAACCCCCGAGACCTCACAGTCCACTGTCCTGAGCAGCACTACTATCTATGCATGCTAGTAATTTAGTGATTATAAAAAGTCTCGAGTTATATAGAGTTTTATGGTTTATAAAACACTATCACATGTTCTCATTTGGTCCTCACTGTAGGCATTACTTTCATTTTACATTAGAGAAAGTTGGAATTTAGAGAGGTTAAGTGAGCTGTTCTGGGTCAAATAGCTAGAAGTGTCTTGTTGCTATTAAATTATGTGTCATTTTGAGAAAAGTAGGACATTAGGCTTGGCAGCTTAGAATGAGAAACAACCATTTTTGGAGTTCAACAGCCCAGTTTGACAGCCCCTGGGGATTGATATAATCTTTACATATGATAAAAGTTTTATTATTTATGTTGACCCATCTGCCAATACTTTGGATTTTTTTTTTTTTTTTCCCTTTCTTTGTCTTTTTTCGTGTCTGGCAACGGATCGCAACCCTCAGTGTCGCGCCCGTACTGGACCNAAGGGGATCTTAACCCTTGACTTGGTGTTGTCAGCACCATGCTCTCCCAGGTGAGCCAACCGGCCATCCCTATATAGGGATCCAAACCTGTGGCCTTGCTGTTATCAGCACCACATTCTCTCAAGTGAGTCATGGGCTGGCCCTTATTTTTTCACATTTTCCAAATAGAAGTTACTGTGTCAAATATGTTTTTTAAAACTGTGCTTCTGCTTTTGCTTTCTTTCTTGCCATTGTGACTCCCTGCCCTTTAAGGTTCTGATACACATTTTTTCCCATGCATAAGGGAGTCACTGACGTACGCTCTCCTGTGCTCATTCTCTTGTTTTACAGTCGAAGAAACCGAGGGCCTTGTTCCAATGATTCTCCTGTTTTTTCCTTGTTCCAATGATTCTCCTGTTTTTTATCTCGCAAAGTATTCTAAATAGCTTGGTTAAGATTCAAGGTCCTTAGGGATATGCAAGTTTTAAATGCTTTGCACTTTTCTTCCGACAGAGCTGAAAAGCTTCAGCTGCTGAACCACAGGCCTGTGACTGCTGTGGAGATCCAGCTGGTGAGTGAGCGAGGCCTGAACTTGAGGGGCTGTTTTCTGGGTCTGAGATGTAAAAAGACTGAAGATGGGCAAGCCAGGATCTGCCATTTTTTGAAGAGACTGCCCAACCACCCCATTTTATAAGACAAAGAGACCTCACTGATTTGCTTCTAGTTAATATGGACTTAAGGAAAGGAGAAGACTGGAAGCAATTTAATTCCTCCCGCAGGGTCTGGGCCTGTGACTTGGCAGCTCTGTCTCCCCAATGTCCTAGGCCATTCTGGCCATTGCCTCCCTGTAGGGGTTGTTGCCAACCAGATGTTGCATGAAAACATTAAACTCACTCTCCCACCCCTGCCCTCCCGCCCTGCTCTTCCTTCATGTGCTTTCTCAGTTCATGGAGCTCGTGTGCGTGGGTCCACACACTCTTCCTCTCTCGCCCCCCTGGCCTGAAGTCATTCTGTACCTTTTCCCTCTGACTTAGTCCGCAAGCTCTGCTGTTTCTCTCCCCTCTCACTCTGTCTTCTCTCCCTACTGCACCACCTTCACTTCCATCATCATTTCTCCACTGGGCTCTGGCAGTTGTCCCCTTGCGTTCTCCCTGTCTGCAGTCTGGCCCCTTTAGCCCATCTTTATACCACCACGTAGTTCATGTTCTAAAACCACGAATAGGATTGTCTTGCTTCCCTGCATGAAGCCATTCAGTGGAGCCTCATGACTTGTACCATCCAGATGGCAGTCACAGCATAGGCTTCAGAGTTGGGGAAGGCAGCCCACGTGCAAGGCCTGAGACAGCGTGAGGAGAATGGAGGACAGGAGGTCGAGTGGTGCACATCGAGTGGCTGCTGGGTTGGCACCTGGGGCAGTTCCTCTGCTGCACAGGGCAAAGACATTGGTGAGCTTCAGGTGCTGAGCAGGCCATCTAATGCCAGAAGAACCTTGGTCTGAGTTAATATGGAACAAAGCTGTTTCCAATGTCAGTTTTAGAACTATTCAACTTGTCAAATTTTCATTTAAAAAGTATGGAAGAAAATGGTAAAAAATACCTATGATCTTTAGAGTATTAAAAAAACCTTTTTACAGGGTCATGGAGTATTTAATTTTTTACTTAAACTTTCATTGTCTTCCCAGAGTTGTTTCTGCCATTTAAAATGCACACAAAATAAAATTAGAAAAATTCTTTCCATAAAAGGTGACTTTCTGGGGGACCTGGCCTTTAGGCTTCTTTTGGACAGCTGAACAGTTCAGGGATCTGAACCCTTTACTGTGGTGTAGGCTTTTTTTTTTTTTTTAATATCCTCATTATTCTGATGCTTTACACTGTATTAGAGATTCAACTTAGAGGAGAGAAAAAAACAAAACAGCAAGAAACTAATTCCTGTTCCTCTCAGTGAAAGATCACATGCTGTGTCTCCTCCAGCTTTAATCAGTAACATATGTTATTCGTGGCTTAAAGACAGACAGAAGAGATGAGGACTAGTGTGACTTCATCCCAGATCCTGTAGAAAGCTCCATGTCAATACTTGGTAACATTAGCTGCTATTAACAGTGCCCAGTGTATACAGACATAGTCTCAGGTGCCTTGTCTGTGTCACTTGTAATGCCCTCACCACAGTCTTGGAAGCTGGCACATATTCTCCGTATTTTAGCCCTGAGGGCTAGTGAATGACTGATTTGGGTCTGTCTGACCTGAGGTTTCCTTTGTTCCTCCAAGCCATGTGCTTTTGCATGGTGAGAAGAAAGATGTGTGTGGTGTCCCCTCAGAGCATTCTCTTCGCCTTTCTACAAAACAGGTAGGCCTTGATGAAAACTGATGCTTCCCAGGAGTTGGACCATTTCATAGCCAGGTTCCCGCTCCCATCCCCCACCCCCCACCCCACCTACTGCCACCAGGATTTGGCTACAAAAGGTAGCAAATCATTTACCAAGGCTTGTAGCAGTCTGTTTCTACCAGAGAGGGATAAGAAGTCTGGGCGCACATCAGGTGGAAAGTGCAAGGGACTTGCAATATCCTTGTGCTAGCCTCCTTGGGCCCAGCAGACACCCAGCACTAGTTAGTATTCAGTGGGAGCCAGGTTTCTTTCAGAGGCTGAAGCTTCGTTTCTTCAGTTATGCCTCAGTTGTGATTTGTCATGAGCCTCTGGTGGACAGAGAGGGTCTGTGACTTCCAGCATGTCCTGTCATGTGTTCATGTGGAATGGTTTGTGATTCCTCTGGCCTGAAGACGATAGGTTTGTGAACCCCCGAGACCTCACAGTCCACTGTCCTGAGCAGCACTACTATCTATGCATGCTAGTAATTTAGTGATTATAAAAAGTCTCGAGTTATATAGAGTTTTATGGTTTATAAAACACTATCACATGTTCTCATTTGGTCCTCACTGTAGGCATTACTTTCATTTTACATTAGAGAAAGTTGGAATTTAGAGAGGTTAAGTGAGCTGTTCTGGGTCAAATAGCTAGAAGTGTCTTGTTGCTATTAAATTATGTGTCATTTTGAGAAAAGTAGGACATTAGGCTTGGCAGCTTAGAATGAGAAACAACCATTTTTGGAGTTCAACAGCCCAGTTTGACAGCCCCTGGGGATTGATATAATCTTTACATATGATAAAAGTTTTATTATTTATGTTGACCCATCTGCCAATACTTTGGATTTTTTTTTTTTTTTTCCCTTTCTTTGTCTTTTTTCGTGTCTGGCAACGGATCGCAACCCTCAGTGTCGCGCCCGTACTGGACCGGGACCAGCAACGGGATCGCAACCCTTGGTGTTGCGCCCGCACCTTGCTCAGCCAGTGAGCGGGAACCGGTCTGTATGTGGGATCCGAACCCTCGGCGGGAGCGCCGCCACGCTCCCAAGTGGCGCACTGTAGCAGTGCGCCACCGGGCTGGCCCAATACTTTGGATTTTAAAATTTCACCTGCTCTTATATTCTAAACAGCTTGAAACCTTTAGTATCTGAGAATGTTGAGATGGTGCTTTGTTTTATTTTGTTTGGGGTTTTTTTTTTTTTTTTGGCACTGGCTGGTACAGAGATTGAGCCCTGGATGTTGGTGTTATCAGCACCACACTCTAACCAACTGAGCTACTGGCCAGCCCTGAGATGGTGCTTTGAACTTTACTTCACTTGGGCTCTGTTTCTCCCATGTTGGGATGAAAAGATGAAGAATAAGGTAGTTATTATTATTTACGCTAGTGATCCAAGAGGGGTTAGTAAGTTTTTGATTTCTGAAAGTTTCTTTTTTGTGTATATTTCATTTAGCTTAATCCAGCTTAGGTTTTCTTCTTGTGACTGGGAGTCTTAGATTGAAAAAAAAAAAAGTTTCTGACTATAATTAACCCTGAGGATTGGGTATTGATAAAAGCTTCTGCTGTTAGCAAATTTTGCAAAATTGGAAAGCCATTGCCCTGTTGCTAAGAATATACCTAGCTGGCACCTAATCAGTGTTGCATCTGCTAGACACAGAAACTGGGAGGTGATAAGGTGGCCTCTCTTGTTTTATATAAAGGAAGGCTCCTCAGAGGTCATACAACCATACTCTGAAACCAGTGAACTCTAGTCAGCTGTATAGCATCTTTAAGAGAGGAGAAAATAGAAACCTCCTGCTAGAAGGTATATGTTCCAGAAGGAGCTGAGATTCAAAGTCAAAAGACCTTGCACCTCCTTGCTGTATGACCCAGATTAAGTTTTACTCAGAATGCTCAGCCTGTACTTACTCATCTGTAAACTGTCCTGACTTCACGTACAGGGCTCTTGAGAAGCTCTGGTGGCAGCGGCTCCGGGAGAGCCCCTCGTCGGCTGGGGGGCGCTGCACAGATACTGGTGGGGGCATCTGTCAGCTGCATATGCTTACTCTTCATGTACGTGGAGCTGGTCTTTTCTCAAGTGGAGATCAGCATTTCTCTGGATTAAATGATCAAATTGGTTATTTCCCTCTTTCCTCCTATTCTTTGAAGGCAGTCTTTGTTAGATTACTGCTTTTACAGACCTAATTTTGCATGTCTAATTTCAAAAATGCATTTTTGAGGATTTTTCTTGTTCAGGAGAGAAGTTACATTTTACTGACCCCTTGGATCTTTAGACAGTGGTCGTTGTATTTCACAGCATGATGGGAAGTAGCCCCCATTGGTCCCCTCAGGATCGTCCCACCTGAAGCACTCAGAATTCTTCTCTAGTTGTGGAAGTTTGGGGCTGAGGGGAGTGAGGAGACCATGCCTTGTCAGGAGCTTGCTGTGTGGTCCTGGCCATGTCACAGGCCTTCTTTAATTTCTCTTCTGTCGTCTCTAAAGTGAGGCAGTCGGATTGAGGTCCTTTTCAGGACTGTAAGCATAGCCTGTTGTCATGGTTTACTTAATCTGCCAGGATTTCTTTTAAGACTCCTTTTGGTCCCAATTGCCAGATTTCAGAGATTGCTGTGATTTCTGCCATAGAAGAGGGCTCCAGACACCTTCAGCTGAGAATGGTTTGTGGTAGACGGTTAACACCACCAAGTGGATGTGGTTAAGTCACTTGACTGGTGGTTGACTACATTATGTTTAGACTTAGAGGTGAGGCTAAGAAAACCGGCCCGTGATTGTGGTTATCATCTCTGTGTTCAGATTTCCAGAACTGTGTCAAACCAGGTTTTAAGTGGGCCGTTGAGGGGCGGTGAGGAATGTTTCCCAGAACTCACTCATCAGACTCCTGTTCTGCGTTCCCAGGAGATGACCAAGGACGTGTGGAGCACATCTGATTGTGGGCTTTAGACTTCGGCAGGCCTAGCTCAGGATTCCAGTTCTGCCCTTGCCAGTACCGATGTGAGGACTAAAAGAAAGTATGGATACAAAGTGCGAGGTGCAGCTCCAGGCATGTGGGAGGCCTAAAGAGCTGTTACCAGTGGTAACGGTACCGAGGATTAGAAGAAGGATATAAACCATGTGACACATAGTGGATGGTCATCAGAAGAGTGTTGGTACAGCTCATTAAGTCACACATGTGCTCACTGTAATATACAAAAGTGTATAAAGTGCCATTTCACTCCACAGATGTGAACTTTTTTGCATATACAACATTAGTTGTGTCTGTATGTATACATGGATGGGTATAGAACTGTTAGGGTTTTCTTTTTCTTTAAAGAAAAATGCTATCCTGCAGCCCAATATTTTCACCAACACATTTTGAGCAGTTGCATTGGCTTAGCCCAGGATTTCAGCTGGCTTCACCCTCCCATGGAGCCAAGATGGAGAGGACCTGGGGACCAGAGGTCGTTCTGGACACAGGCCCTGAACTCTGTGTGCCAGGAGGTTGGGCTGGGACCATGAACAGCATGGGTGGACTGGAGTGGTGCGGATCAGTTGTCACACCCCTGAGGGTTCTCTCTCCTTCCACAGATGGTAGAAGAGAGTGAAGAACGGCTCACAGAGGAGCAGATTGAAGCTCTTCTCCACACCATCACGAGCATTCTGCCTGCGGGGCCAGAGGCTGAGCAGAAGAAAACCACCAGCAATGCTGAGACCATGGACAAAGAGGACCCTGCATAGAAGAGTGCAGCTGGCCCAGCAGCTGTTTCCTGCATGTCCCAGGATTGTTTGTTTGATTTTACCCTTTCCCCCAACAGGCCTCATTTCACAGTTAGGTGGGTAAGTGACAAAAATAGGCTGAAAAGAAGTATTTGTGCCTTGGGGAGAAGAAGCATGGTGAAGACAGGCTATGCTTGTCAGGGCAGAGCGCTGAAGAGGGGAGGACAGTGACTGTGGACCCTGTGGTAGAACTGTTTCTTCTATGGCCTTTGCCCCACTTGTGGGGAGGTCTATGTGCACAGCTGGTAAAATACGTGGGTTGCCTTTGATGGGCTGAGTCCTAATTAGTTTCATCTGCTTCCCTAGAAATTTCCCAAGCAGGGGCTTAGAGCACTGTTAGGATGAGAGCTGAATTATGAGAATCTGACTAGATGGCTAAAAACTCCTAGAGCAACAAATTGATGCCCCAGCAGTTCACATGAGCTGCTGAACTTGGCTCACCTTAGAGGAATTTCCTCGAGAACAGGAGAGATAAGAAAAGAACAGGCCTGGCTGACCCTTCATCTGTTTTAAAGGCCCCTTTCCTCTGCTGGCATAGGCTTTGTTTACTGGCTCACTGTTTACTGTTAAATGTTAGAGATCAGCCCATTCCATTTGGAAAGAGGCACTCTGCACTGAATGACAGCGGCAGCAAAAGAACAGCGCTGGCTGTCTTTCTGACCACCCTTGGGTTCTTGCCCCAACACGGCAGCCCTGGGCAGGCGCTGCCTGTGGACACCAGGGGAGCTTCATTTGCCCCGTGGGCTAATCGTTTGCCCCTTTAAAAAGGCACAGTTATGTAGCTCTTTTCATGAGCAGAATGTGTAAGACCCAGAGGTTGATTAATAAGAATTTGAATGTGCTAGCTGTTGGAAGAATACATCCATTTTTGAATTTAAAATATTAAGATAATTACCACGTGGAGACCTTTTTAATATTCAGACTTTGGAAAGTTTAGTAGCTGCAGGCATGCGGTTGCCTTAATTCCTAAGAATATTGCTAAAAATCTGGTTTCCCACATTCACTCTGTTCCCTGTTTAGGGAAGAAAATGCCCATAGATATTAATTTTCCAAATTGGTGCTCATTTTGTTGTAAGATTACATATTTTCAATGCCACTGTTAATTGGATGACTTCTGACCCCCTTGCAATTCCTAGTTTACTTGAACTTTCCTACTCATCCCCCTCCCATCCCTGTCCCATCCCTTACAAATTGACTTCAGTTATGTCCATCTTAACCTTATCATCTAAGGACCACCTGAATTCTGTTTACAGGCAACATTGAAAGTAACGGATTTTATTTTTAAATCTCTCTTGAATATTGGGAATCTGTCAGGAGCTGTCAATTTCTTTGTCAAGGCATACATGTGCCTATGTCACTGTTGTCTCTTTTTAACCTGAGGTGTGTTAGGTGGTTCTTCTTGATGGGTTTAGGAATTAATCTATAATATTAAGTTAATAATAAATGGTTTCCAGGTGATTATCAACTTGTGACATTTTATAAATCTTTGAAGAGTTTGTATTGTCATGGCTAGAGAGAAATAAAGTGAAATCTGACTTAACGGCTAAAATGTGTGGTTTTTTAAAGGTTGTATCTACGAAACTTTATTAGATATTCAAGAAAATTTTAAGTTTCTATATTTAGGGGCTGGTCTGTGGCTCGCTCGGGAGAGTGTGGTGCTGAGAACACCAAGTCAAGGGTTAAGATCCCCTTACTGGTCATCTTTTTAAAAAAAAAGTTTCTATATTTAGGACCTGAATTTAGCCCCAGTTTTTGATTAAATCAGGCTNATGTGGGATCCGAACCCTCGGCGGGAGCGCCGCCACGCTCCCAAGTGGCGCACTGTAGCAGTGCGCCACCGGGCTGGCCCAATACTTTGGATTTTAAAATTTCACCTGCTCTTATATTCTAAACAGCTTGAAACCTTTAGTATCTGAGAATGTTGAGATGGTGCTTTGTTTTATTTTGTTTGGGGTTTTTTTTTTTTTTTTGGCACTGGCTGGTACAGAGATTGAGCCCTGGATGTTGGTGTTATCAGCACCACACTCTAACCAACTGAGCTACTGGCCAGCCCTGAGATGGTGCTTTGAACTTTACTTCACTTGGGCTCTGTTTCTCCCATGTTGGGATGAAAAGATGAAGAATAAGGTAGTTATTATTATTTACGCTAGTGATCCAAGAGGGGTTAGTAAGTTTTTGATTTTTTCTGCCATAGAAGAGGGCTCCAGACACCTTCAGCTGAGAATGGTTTGTGGTAGACGGTTAACACCACCAAGTGGATGTGGTTAAGTCACTTGACTGGTGGTTGACTACATTATGTTTAGACTTAGAGGTGAGGCTAAGAAAACCGGCCCGTGATTGTGGTTATCATCTCTGTGTTCAGATTTCCAGAACTGTGTCAAACCAGGTTTTAAGTGGGCCGTTGAGGGGCGGTGAGGAATGTTTCCCAGAACTCACTCATCAGACTCCTGCGTTCCCAGGAGATGACCAAGGACGTGTGGAGCACATCTGATTGTGGGCTTTAGACTTCGGCAGGCCTAGCTCAGGATTCCAGTTCTGCCCTTGCCAGTACCGATGTGAGGACTAAAAGAAAGTATGGATACAAAGTGCGAGGTGCAGCTCCAGGCATGTGGGAGGCCTAAAGAGCTGTTACCAGTGGTAACGGTACCGAGGATTAGAAGAAGGATATAAACCATGTGACACATAGTGGATGGTCATCTGAAGAGTGTTGGTACAGCTCATTAAGTCACACATGTGCTCACTGTAATATACAAAAGTGTATAAAGTGCCATTTCACTCCACAGATGTGAACTTTTTTGCATATACAACATTAGTTGTGTCTGTATGTATACATGGATGGGTATAGAACTGTTAGGGTTTTCTTTTTCTTTAAAGAAAAATGCTATCCTGCAGCCCAATATTTTCACCAACACATTTTGAGCAGTTGCATTGGCTTAGCCCAGGATTTTAGCTGGCTTCACCCTCCCATGGAGCCAAGATGGAGAGGACCTGGGGACCAGAGGTGGTTCTGGACACAGGCCCTGAACTCTGTGTGCCGGGAGGTTGGGCTGGGACCATGAACAGCATGGGTGGACTGGAGTGGTGCGGATCAGTTGTCACACCCCTGAGGGTTCTCTCTCCTTCCACAGATGGTAGAAGAGAGTGAAGAACGGCTCACAGAGGAGCAGATTGAAGCTCTTCTCCACACCATCACGAGCATTCTGCCTGCGGGGCCAGAGGCTGAGCAGAAGAAAACCACCAGCAATGCTGAGACCATGGACAAAGAGGACCCTGCATAGAAGAGTGCAGCTGGCCCAGCAGCTGTTTCCTGCATGTCCCAGGATTGTTTGTTTGATTTTACCCTTTCCCCCAACAGGCCTCATTTCACAGTTAGGTGGGTAAGTGACAAAAATAGGCTGAAAAGAAGTATTTGTGCCTTGGGGAGAAGAAGCATGGTGAAGACAGGCTATGCTTGTCAGGGCAGAGCGCTGAAGAGGGGAGGACAGTGACTGTGGACCCTGTGGTAGAACTGTTTCTTCTATGGCCTTTGCCCCACTTGTGGGGAGGTCTATGTGCACAGCTGGTAAAATACGTGGGTTGCCTTTGATGGGCTGAGTCCTAATTAGTTTCATCTGCTTCCCTAGAAATTTCCCAAGCAGGGGCTTAGAGCACTGTTAGGATGAGAGCTGAATTATGAGAATCTGACTAGATGGCTAAAAACTCCTAGAGCAACAAATTGATGCCCCAGCAGTTCACATGAGCTGCTGAACTTGGCTCACCTTAGAGGAATTTCCTCGAGAACAGGAGAGATAAGAAAAGAACAGGCCTGGCTGACCCTTCATCTGTTTTAAAGGCCCCTTTCCTCTGCTGGCATAGGCTTTGTTTACTGGCTCACTGTTTACTGTTAAATGTTAGAGATCAGCCCATTCCATTTGGAAAGAGGCACTCTGCACTGAATGACAGCGGCAGCAAAAGAACAGCGCTGGCTGTCGTATAACTTCGTATAATGTATGCTATACGAAGTTATTACGACTTCCATCATCATTTCTCCACTGGGCTCTGGCAGTTGTCCCCTTGCGTTCTCCCTGTCTGCAGTCTGGCCCCTTTAGCCCATCTTTATACCACCACGTAGTTCATGTTCTAAAACCACGAATAGGATTGTCTTGCTTCCCTGCATGAAGCCATTCAGTGGAGCCTCATGACTTGTACCATCCAGATGGCAGTCACAGCATAGGCTTCAGAGTTGGGGAAGGCAGCCCACGTGCAAGGCCTGAGACAGCGTGAGGAGAATGGAGGACAGGAGGTCGAGTGGTGCACATCGAGTGGCTGCTGGGTTGGCACCTGGGGCAGTTCCTCTGCTGCACAGGGCAAAGACATTGGTGAGCTTCAGGTGCTGAGCAGGCCATCTAATGCCAGAAGAACCTTGGTCTGAGTTAATATGGAACAAAGCTTACTTGAACTTTCCTACTCATCCCCCTCCCATCCCTGTCCCATCCCCTACAAATTGACTTCAGTTATGTCCATCTTAACCTTATCATCTAAGGACCACCTGAATTCTGTTTACAGGCAACATTGAAAGTAACGGATTTTATTTTTAAATCTCTCTTGAATATTGGGAATCTGTCAGGAGCTGTCAATTTCTTTGTCAAGGCATACATGTGCCTATGTCACTGTTGTCTCTTTTTAACCTGAGGTGTGTTAGGTGGTTCTTCTTGATGGGTTTAGGAATTAATCTATAATATTAAGTTAATAATAAATGGTTTCCAGGTGATTATCAACTTGTGACATTTTATAAATCTTTGAAGAGTTTGTATTGTCATGGCTAGAGAGAAATAAAGTGAAATCTGACTTAACGGCTAAAATGTGTGGTTTTTTAAAGGTTGTATCTACGAAACTTTATTAGATATTCAAGAAAATTTTAAGTTTCTATATTTAGGGGCTGGTCTGTGGCTCGCTCTCTACGAAACTTTATTAGATATTCAAGAAAATTTTAAGTTTCTATATTTAGGGGCTGGTCTGCGGCTCGCGGGAGAGTGTGGTGCTGAGAACACCAAGTCAAGGGTTAAGATCCCCTTACTGGTCATCTTTTTAAAAAAAAAGTTTCTATATTTAGGACCTGAATTTAGCCCCAGTTTTTGATTAAATCAGGCTCTGGAAGACTTACCTTTATAAGAAACATATAACATGTGTAATATTTCTGTCACATTAATAATAAACATTTCAGAAATAAAAAGTCATAATTTACATAAGAAACTTCACTAGGATCACACTGAGGATGGGAGCTGGGGAGTATGGGAGTTTGCTTCTTATTTTATGTCCTTCTATGAGGTTTTAATTTTGACCATGTGACTGTTTTATTTTTTAAAAAGAAAGACTATATCTATGTGTATGTTGTCCTTGTAGCTGACAGTTAAATTATGTCCCCCACATGGAGGCTGAGGCCCAGTTTGGTCACTCTTACATTCTAGGAAGGGCAGCACTGGGCAGGCGCTGTGGCCATTGTAGAACTCATGTCAGTGTCTGGCCCAGTGACTAGCTGGATGTTGTATTTTTAGTTTCTCCAGCCTTTCTTTATTATTTGATTTTGTAGTCTTCTGAGTTCAGCGGCCAGGGTAAAGAATAGATTTATATTTGGAACTTTTTTAGGAGGCGAAGCTCTGGTTTGTAACATAGAGAAACTTTTTAGTTATCTGTTGAGAAGTTACTACTGAACTCTTGAAAAATTAGATACTCAGTTTGATGTTTACCCAAACCTTTTCCTTGCCTCTTTTGCTTAGAAGTTACCAGCTGTCACCTCAGAGGGCTACAGTTTATTCAGGGCTTGTTCAGGAAGTAGTGGGTACCATTTCTCTAATTAATCATTGTGTAGCCGTACCAGCTCTCAAGAGAAGGGTGAGTGTGCCAGTCAGGATTCCATGCATCTCTAGGAAGAGATTTATTATAAGGTGTGGCTCACATGGTTATAAAGGCTGGGAAGTCCCATGATGTGCTGTCTGCAAGCTGGAGACCCAGGGAAGTTGGTGGTGTAGTTTGAAGGCCTGAGAGTCAGAAAGCCAGTGTTGTAATTCCAGTCCTGGTCTGACGGTCTGAGAACAAGGAGCACCAAGAGCAATGTCCCAGCCAAGCCATCAGGCCAAGTTCCTGTG